CTTTTAAATAAAAATAAAACTTGTATTTGCTGTCGAAATATCATTAACTGTGTCCCACATTCCTTGGATTGCAGATGCCTGGAATGATGCAGTCGGTGATGCCTGGAATGATGATGTCCCACATGTCCCAGGCTGCCATGCAGCCCACGGTTCCTGTGAGTTTGGACTCCAATTCCCTCACTTTTAAAGCTTTTCCAGCTTTCCCAAGGCCTTTGCTGGCTCTCAGGCTTTGGTTCCTTTCCTTGGCAAATCAAACTTCCCATTTGGAAGCTGTTGCTCCTTGCAGGGATGTTTTATTTGGAAAAAAAAAATCAGATTAACTGTTAAAAATCAGATTAACTGTAAAAAAACCAAGATTTCTGGGCGAGGTAGAGCTGGTGAGATTTATTGTCCTGGGGATTTTCATCAGTCTTTAAATTCCTCCTCCTTTTTTTTCCCTGGATTCTGCTTCCCAGCCCCTCATCCCTCACCAGTTTGGAGCTGGAATTCTTCCCAGCATGAACTCTGCTTGGGAAAAGTTCTAATTATGATCAGTATATCATAAAATAGGTTTTTATCTATTAATTTGTTTAAAAAATGTCTCTAAATTGTCTCTAAAAAAATCTCCAAATAAAATCTTTCTCTTTAAATTTATTCAATTTAAATATTGAATAGATTTTTCATCTGTTGTAAATAGATTTTTTTGCAAAAAGTTTCTGTAGTTCAGCACATTGAGCAAAATTTGCTGAAATGCCTGAAATTCAAAGGAATAAAGAAGATTTTTGGGTGGAAATGGTGAAGTCCAAGTGAAGTATCTGAAGTGAAAAGTAAATTTCTTTCCTATGAACATAATTTTAATTCAAATTAACTGCAGGAAATCCATTTAAAATCAATTGCAGCCACTTAAATTTAGAAAGAAATTATTTGTTGTTTTTTTTTCCCCATGAAGATTTTATATCCCTGCCAAACTCTGGAATTTCCTGGAGCACAACCCCTTTTGTGGGTTATTTTAACAGTTAAATTGGTTAATAATCCACTTGGTTTTCTCAGGGAGAGTTTGTTGAAAGAGAGATTTAATTAATCTGCTGAATGGTTTTGTGTGACCAGAGGTAACTGTGTCATCCAGGGGATTTAAGGAATTAAAATCCAGAGGATTGAAAGTTAAAAGTTCACAAAGATACAAAATTCCTGCAAAATAAATAAAGTTAGGAATGGGATGGAACATCCCCTGGATCAGCAGTAAAATTACCCTAATTTTCAATTTTAATGTGTAATTTTATATATCTTGCAAAGAAGGCAGATCTTTTGAATTTATTACTGGACTAGGAGTGAATTTTGATGGAATTAAGGCTGGATATGTGGGATTTAGGAGGAAAAGGGCATGATTTTAGCACTTCCTGATTGAAATCATTTATAGATGAGTAAAAAATCCTGTCAGTGACCCCTGGTGAACTTTGAGAGAGTGACCTGTTATAATTTTGGTGTCAAATTTAATATGAGTTAATTTTTAATTAATTAAATTTAATTAATTTATTTTTGGGAGGATTTTTAGGGATGTCTGGAATGTTGCATCCAAGGATGGCTGTTTTCCAGACCATCCCTCCCTCTGGCTTGGGATCTCCTGCTTCCAGAAAGCTGATTAGAAACAGTGCAGTTCCTAAAAATGAGGATTTTTAGGGCCAGATTAATGCTCTTAATTCCTTTAGAGTGGAATTTAGGGAAAGGAAAGGCCCAGGGAAAGGGAATGTTGGAAGAATTCCTTGTGGAGACACAAATTGCTCTGTGGTTCCCTGGCAGTTCTGGTGCTCAGGGACATTTTAAAAGCATTTAAAAGGTGTGGAGAATTCCCCAGGTTTAGTCCTGTTGGATCAAATCCAATGTAATGGATCCCAAGGGATTTATTTTCACTTTTTAAACCAATTTTTCTTTGTTTCTCGAGCAGCATTGAAATAAAACAAGTGTGGGGTGAAAATAAACCCTGGTTAAAGCTGAATCCACCAGCTCTGGTTTAGCCTCCAGGGAGAAAGAAGTGGGGAAAACTCTTGGAATTCTGAGCATCTTTTTCCTCAGTTTGAAAGAATTCCAAGAAGAGCATCTGGAAGAGCTCCAGGCTCAGGAATGCACCTCTAACACACCCAAAGGCACAGAATTAGCCCAGAAAGCTCCTAACCATGTCCCTAATTGCTTTATTTAAGGAGCAGGGATAATTAAGAGGGCGAGGGGAAGGTTGGAATCCCTATTTAAGGAGTTTAAGGAGCATTTTGAGGCAGGAAGCACTGGTTTGGGTGGATATATATTGGATTTCTTGGGGATTTAATTCCAGTTGCACTCAGTAATGAAGTGTCTGTTGGTTGTTTCTGCAGCCAGGGGTGAACAGTATGGATGCACAAGTAGGTGAGTATCAAAAACTCCTTTTCATTTCAAATATTTGACCAAAATCAGCTGAAACATCCAAAATAATCCTGTTTTGGAAATTTCATTCAGCTTTTCAGTGACTTGGAGCTCTTCATTGCTCCCCAGGACATTCTTTTCTTTCACACACCAATTAATACACTGAAAAATTTCTAATTTCTGAGTGTTTATTTTAATTAATGCACAGAAAAACGAAGCACCCAAACCCTTTCTGATTTCTGAGTGTTTATTTTAATTAATGCACAGGAAAACGAAGCACCCAAACCCTTTCTGATTTCTGAGTGTTTATTTTAATTAATGCACAGAAAAATGAAGCACCCAAAGCCTTTCTGATTTCTGTGTGTTTGTTTTGCAGGTGTGACCCCTCCTGGAACTCAGGTATGGGAGAACCCCAATCCCAGAAGGTTGGAATGGTTTGGAGGTTTCAAAGGACACTTTGGGTCCTATTTTTTCCTCTCAGATAGAGCTTTTTTTTTTGCTTATTTACCTGTCAGTCTGTAATTAATGCCAATGGCTTAATTAGGGGGTTTCTGTTATATCCTTAATTTCTGAGCACTGCAGTGTGTTTGGTTTAGTCCTCCTGGAAACAAACCCCTTCCCTTTTCCCTTCCCTCTCTTTTCCCCCTCCTCTCCTCCTCCCAAGTTTTTCACTGTTGCCTGAAATCTGGGCCCCTTTTCCCAGCTTAATTATTAAATATAGATGATAATCAATCTTATTTCCAGGAGATTTGCAGTTGGACTGTAAGGAATTCCAGTTCCCCATGGCCACATCCCATCAGTGATCCAGAGGGGATGGGAAGAGCCATCTTCTCCTGCTCCTGATTTCAGGGAATTCATACAAAAACTCTTCATGGGAAACAGCAGGAAGCTCCTGAGGAGTTAAATGGGAATTCAGGAAGGCAGAATCTTCTGGCAGCACATTTTCCTTTAAGTTTTGGGAATGGGCTTTGCTCCTGGAACTTTGACCTGGGAGTTCAAGTTGGAGTTTGGGCACTTCACTTTCCCTTTCTGGTGGGAATTAGTGGCTTTGGAATGAGGAATGGGAAGCTGCAGTCCCCCAAAAAAGCACTTTGCTGCAAACAACACTGCCTTAAAATGTGCTTTGGGTAAATTCAGTGTATTTAACACATGCAGGTGAAAACCAACAGTTATCCAGGATTTTCAGAGCTCTTTTGTTTCATTCCCAGACAACCCATCCCGTGGTCTCCACAGTGCAGCAAACGGCCACCACCACCAGCTCTGCCACTGAGGATCACTCCAAGCAGGTTTGGCTGCTTTCCACTTGTGTTTCCCCCTTTCTCCTGCCTTCTGACACCATCCTGATCACCAATCCTTGGTCATTATTTATGGATTTCCCTAGAAATCCACGTGGACAGAGCACAAATCTCCCGATGGAAGAACTTATTACTACAACACCGAGACGAAGCAGTCGACGTGGGAGAAGCCAGATGATCTCAAAACACCTGCTGAGGTGACCTAAAATCAGATTATCAGATTAAAATGACTGTCCTGGCTGCTGGGGTGGGAACACGAGGATTTCTGAGCATCCCTCTGCCAAGGGATTTACTTCCCAAGGGAGCAAACTCTCCAGAGAAGAGTCATTGCCAAAATGTTTGTGTCCTGCTCCTTATGCTGATGTTACAAAGTAGAAAAAAACTCTGCAGTTCTCCTCATTTTTAGATATTTTTTTTTCTTATTAAAAATATGTCATTCCTTATTATTTAGATAAGTAATGGAGAATCCCAGGATGGTTTGGGCTGGAAGGGACCTTAAAGCTCATCCCATCCCACCCCCTGCCATGGGCAGGGA